AAAGTTTTCTTATAAAACTGATAAATCACAGATACAGAGAACAGATTGGTGGTTGCCAGAGGTGGTGTTGGGGGGGGCGGGGAGGTGGGCGAAATTGGTGAAGGTGGTCAAAAGCTACAAACTTCCACTTATAAGTCCTGGGGACATAATATATAGCATGGTGACTATAATTAATAATACTGTATTATATTTGAAAGTTGCTACGAAAGTAGATGATTGAAGTTCTTATCACAAGGAAAAAATTGTAACTATGTGTGGTATGGATGTTAACTAGACTTATTGTGGTGATCATTTCACAGTTTATACAAATATCAAGTCATCACATTGTACACCTGAAACTAATATAACTAATATACTGTTATGTCAACTATATCTCAATAAAAAACTTATACATCTTATAAAGTCATTTATCATATTTAAGAAATGTAGTCATCATGCGTCTTGGTATTTGAGTGCCTTACATAAATTACTTCACTAACCCTCACAGAAACCTAATAAAAAAGGTAATTATCTTCATTTTACAGATAGAAAAACTGAAGTTCCTATCCCTGTTTTACAGATTAAGGAAAGTGCTTCCTATTATTATAAGCTAGCAAATACGAGGGTTAGGATGTGAGCCCAGATATGCTTGACCCCAAAACCTGAATTCACCCCTTCATACTACACAGTCTCATGCTGGTCCCTGTCTTTGTGATATTAGCTACCAAATAGACACACCAGAAAATGTTTTGGCTGCTATGTGCAATTATGCTCTGTTCACACAAATGATGTACATCTAAAATACATGTGACAGATGTATGAATCAATATATTGTTAATGAACAAAATCCAGTTAATAGAACAGTATGTATAGTATTTGTTAGCTATATTCCAAAATGTTAATAGCAGGAGTCTTTATGGAATATACTTTTTAATGTACTTACATTACACAAGTATGGCGGAGATGGCTGGCTAACATTCATGTTACCCCTTTCCTTAGCTTAGGGTTATCACTTGGACACGGGTCCCCAAAGGGAACTACACTTCCCAGCCTCCTTTGCATCCAGATCAGGGCATATGACCAATTCTCACCAATGGTGTATGAACAGAGCAGTGTGTCACTTCTAAACTGGGACTTTTAAGAAATGGGATTTTTTATGCTCCCCTCCACTATCTGGTAGCCAGGTTCAGAGGAGTCCAAATTAACAGGTGCTATTGAACCCACAACTTGAAGGTAGTCCAGATCCTTGAATGACCATAGGGACGAACAGCTACTGGTTGAACAAGACACCTACACTGAACTGCTACATGAGCAAGAAATAAACTTCTGTTATGCTATGTCACAGGATCTTGGGGATTATTTGTTACAGCATCCTACCTAATTCAAGTAATAGAGTTACCATACCTAATGCAAGTTATACATACTCATCAATAATTATAATTTTACTCTCTTCCTTTTACACATGTGTGGTGAAAAATATAATATTTCTGGGATTCAAAGATCTACTTATGGCATTGAGCCTCCTCACAGATTTTTTAAAATTTATTTTTATTTTATTTTTTTAGAGAGAGAGAGCATGAGTGGGGAAGGGCAGAGGGAGAAGGAGAGAAAGAATCCTAAGCGGGCTCTGTGCACAGCACAGCTCCATCTCACAACGCTGAGATCCTGATCTGAGCTGAAACCAAGAACTGGCCACTTAACTGACTGAGCCACCCAAGCGCCCCCATTCTCACCGATTTTTAACTCTCAAAACTCATATCATATAAAGGATATGGTAGGAACCATAGAGGAAGGAGTAAGAAGCCAGCAGATTGACTAGCTGCCTCTGAACAGTTTCTCTCCTGTGGAATCTGACCATATAAAGTCATTTAAACATCCTTGAGTTATTACTACACCAGAGGGATGGAGAGGTATCAAAGATTCTGAAACCAGCTACTGAGAAGTTTGCTTTTCCTTGATTTGAAGGGCATTTCATACATAATAAGTATGTATAAACACGGGACAACAGATTGCAAGGTGCTATTAAGGGCATAAAGAAAAATAGATAAAAGATCTGCCTATCTTTTATCATGATACCTTGAATAAATAAAGGAAGCTGAATTTAATACCCAATTGACTACAAAGAATCACGGGTTTTTTTTGAAAAGCTGAACGGTACATTGGATTTAATTTCCAGTCAGTTAGGCTGCAGCATCTTATCCAACAACTCATAATGAACTGCAGTAACATAATCCAAAGGCAATAAAGGCAAAGCTGACTTAACCTCGAGGCCTGATAAGAACCTGAATAGTACACATTGGCCGCAGTGTGGAAGGGTTTTAATACATTTAAGATTTCATCAAACGTTAGAAAGAAGATGAGGGGAAGATGTAATTTCTTGAGTTAACAGGAGAAATGAAAATAGTTTAGTTGCTTAGAATGAGAATTGAAACACAAAATGAAGATTTGGTGAAAGAATTTACCCCTAAATATAAGGGAGTGTTTATTTTCATGGTGATGACATTCTGTTTCGCATGGTTCCACGATTACTGTATTCTTCCCCTGGTAAGGGCTTCCATGAGGATGGAAACAGACCTTTGTGGATAGAGGCTTGATTTCAAGTGGATCATTCACACTGCTTGGCTCTGTCTACACAAAACCAGAATACCTAGATAAGGAGTAAAAGCTTTGCAAATGCCAAAGGATGCCAAGATATCTGATGTTTGCAAATATCCAAGTGTTTGTCCAGATGTTTCCAAATATGTAGAAGTAGATGTTGGCTGCTTAGCTGACAAACTTCAGATAAGGGCTGGAACTTTTTATTTTTAGCACAACTATTTTTAGCAGGAGGTTCTATCAGTGTTTGGTAATGGATAATAGGGTAACTGCTTTAAATTCTTGACCCCAGGAAGGGCCCATGTAGTCAGGGAGGGCTTTGGAAAGATGCTGATCCTTCAGGCTTCTATGGGTATCATTACCCCAGTCATTTGAAACCCTGGAAGTCCTCTAAACATTCCTGAGTGTTCTGGAGAGGTGAAGGCATGTCAATAATATAAGAACCTGGTAAAATGACCTAATGAACAACCTAGTGTTGGACATCTAGTAGATGCTCAGTAAGTACATGAGAAAGTGTGGCAATGGGAAGAGAATGTTCACAGACTCTTTACCACTCACCAGAGCCCAAAGCCAAGTCTTGGTGTAGATGAATTTCCTATGCTTCAATCTAATGTGCATTTTTCCACTTTCCATTCTCTCTTGCCTACTCAAGATGTTGTTCCAGCAGTTCTCCTCTCTCCCACCTCACAAAGTTTTCCTCTCCCTTTTCAGGATCCTTTCCATTAAACTTGCACACATGTCATATCTTTCCCATTCTGAAACACACACACACACACACACACACATACCACCTTCTTTTCATTATAATTCCTGAACCAGCTACTGCCATATTTATTTTAGAGCCAAACTCCTCAAAGATTCATCTGTACTCACTATCTCCAAGTCTTCTCTCATTTTTTCTTAAACCTACTCTCATCAGGCTTTTTGTTCTACCCACTGCCTCAAGTCAGCTCTCAGCTGGGCAAGCTGCTGACTGCACACAAACCCATAGGTTCTCAGTCCTTGTGTTAAAGATTTTATTTATTTGACAGAAAGAGAGAGAAAGGGAGAGAGAGAGAGAGAAAGCACAAGCAGGAGGAGCGGCAGGCAGAAGGAGAGGGAGAAGCAGGCTCCCCTCTGATGTTGGACTCGATTCTAGGACCCTGGGATCATGACCTGAGCCAAAGGCCGACGCTTAACCCACTGAGCCACCCAGGCGCCCCTCAGTCTTTGTGTTAACTTGATCCCTCGGTGGCTGTTGACACATGGGATCTCTCCTTTCTTACTCCTCCTTCTTGCACGTGGCTTCCAGGACATCAGACCAACCCAGTTTTCTGCCTACCTTGCTGCTTGCCTCTTCTCTGTCCCCTTTGCTAGTTTTCTCTTTCTTTCATCTTCTAAAGTTGGAACCTCCACAGGGGTCAGTCCTTGACCCTTTCCTCTTTTCTATCTCAATACATAGCCTTGGAGATTTTATTTAATCTTGTAGCTTTAAAATCACCATGCATGTGCCGATGACTCCCGAACGTACATCTTCATTCTAGCCCTCCCTCCCAAACCCCAGATGTTCATCTATCCAGCTGCCTTCTCAGTACCTCCACTTGGATGTCTGGAAGACTCCTCAAACTTAGCACCTCCCGAACTCAACTCCTGATCTTCCCTCCTCTCGATCAAGGGCAATTCCATCTTCCAGGTGCTTGGATCAAAATCCTTGGACTAAATCCTTGACTCCTATTTCTCTCCTACCCCACACTCGAGTCACAACCCATGGGAAATCCTACCAGCGTGACCTTCACAACATGTCTAGAATTGGACCACTCAGTCACCTTCGCTACTCCCACCCTGGCCAGACTCACTATGACCTCCCGCAGCAGAGACCCCTCACCAGGGTCCCTGTTTCTACCCATGAACCTTGTTGTCTATTCTTAACACAGCAGCCAGAGTGATTTTCACAAAATGTGAGACATCATGTCACTCCCCTGCTCAGAACTTTGCGAGGGCTCCTCCTCACTCCACACATAAAAAAAGGCCCCACCTGCTCTGCTTCCCGACCCCCTGCAAGACCTACGTGGCCTGCACCTGCCACCCCGCTGATGTCACCCTCTCCTATCCTCCGTCTCAAGCCCTTGGTGCTGCCTGCACTGCCCGTTGCTTGGAACGGAGTCTCCGGGCACGCTCCCACTTAGAGCCATTCTCCTGTTATCCCCTGGGCTAACCCTCTCGCCCCCTTCAAGTCTTCGCTCAACTGTCACCTCACTAGTGTCTATTCTGATTACCCTTCTTAAAATTCCAACCCGAGCCCTCTGAATTCCTGGAAATCCTTACTCGGCTCTGCTTTATCCCCCAAACCATGCTCCTTGCCGTCCAATATACTTTACAGTAACTTTTTAAATATGTCTGTTTGTGTTTATGCTGGTTATTGTCTGTCTCCTCCCTCCCCGGACTAGAACGTGAGCTCCACGAGGACCATGACCTTCATCTGTTTGTGCACCCCAAGTGCCGGGAAGGGAGGCCGGCAGCCAGAGGACCCTCAGAAGTGTTTGCTGAGAGAATTGAATCACAAGCGGAAGAATCTGGATGATGATCACGAACTGCCATTTGCAGGCCTAAGCTCTTTATCTCATTTAATCCTCAAAATGGCCACATGACATACATTTATCTCCTCTACTTTTCGGAAGTCTGAGGAATATCACATGACTGGAGGGTGACAGAGCCAAGCTGTGAACCCAGAGTCTGCACGTCCAATTTCCCCACTATTCTCATACATTCCTGGAGTGAGTATGAATTGGTGCAGCTTTTCTACAGGGTAATTCAGCCTTATATATGAACAGCTTTACAAATACTCATACCCTTTATTCCAGAGAACGGATCACAGATACGCCCAAAGGCCTATCTACACCATTGTTTGTATGGGTGACGCATAGCGGTGAACTGATTTTTTAAAAATCATGGTATTTTCATTCAATGGAAGACTATGTAGCCAATGCTGATGGAAGAGTGTATGATGACATGACAAAACCTCCCCAGCAAACATTCAGAAGAAACAACAAGGACAACATACCAGGACACACAATTGTAGACACATGATGATGCCCCAATTTTTAAAAATTACATTATTTATGCTGGAAGGATGACACCAGAAAGTTAATAGTGGTTCTCCCTAAAGGTGTGACCATGGGTGATTTTTATTTTCTCTGTACATTTCTGTGTAACTTTGTGTGTGTGTGTGTGTGTGTGTGTAACTTTTTATTTTTATTTTTATTTTATTTTTATTTTTATTATTTTTTTTTAGAGAGAGTGGGGGGGGTGGGCGCAGAGGAAAAGGGAGAGAGAGAATCTTTTTTTTTTTTTTTAAAGATTTATTTATTCATTTGAGAGAGCGAGAATGAGAGAGAGTACATGAAAAGGGGCAGGGTCAGAGGGAGAAGCAGGCTCCTCGCCGAGCAGGGAGCCCGATGCGGGACTCGATCCCGGGACTCCAGGATCATGACCTGAGCCAAAGGCAGTTGCTTAACCAACTGAGCCACCCAGGCACCCTGTGTGTAACTTTTTAAAATAGGAAAGAAGTTATTTTTAAAAGGAACCTCTCCCTCAACATTAAAATGTACCTTTCTATTTATATGATACATTAATAAGTTTTATGACAAAATTAAACATACCTGAATAGCTGAAATGAAGATGAGGTCCCTATGAAACACTGAATGGGTTCTAAGTCAACAACTATATTTCATATATCCAAGATTAAAGTAGTTTCACTGTATTACAATGTCTTTATCCAGATCAACTGTACTGAACCATTTCATTTAAGTACACTAGATTTTCCAAGTTTTAGTAAGGTTTAGTTTTTCTTTTTCTTTGGAGCTATCCCCCCAAATAGGCATTATGTTCTATTTCTCTTTGGAGCACTTGGATCTCTTGACTTGGAGTGAAGTATCTCATTCCATAGCACAAAGTACCTTGATAAGTTGTTTCAAGAACACTGCAAGTATAACATATTTAGACTGTGTCATCACATTAAGAAATTACTGTACTAAAGTGCATTCCAAAGCAATTGCTACATATGTAAGTTTCTCTTTTAACTTCATTCCTGGAGAATTGTATTTTTTAAAGTCTATCTTGGAGAATATAATTTTTTTTTCTGATTGCAAGCTATTTTAAGAGCTGTCAGAAATCTATATAATGCAAGGAAGTACCGTGGGGGTTTCTTAACATCAAAAATAAGGACAATAGTTAACTTACTAAACAGAGAGGGGAAAGGACTCATTTAGATTTGCTCATGAAACAACTTGAAAGATTCAAAAAGGATAATGTTCCCAGATTAATGATCATGCAATTCGAAGTGACTTTTTAAATATATAATTCCTGAAGCCCAGATAGAATCTTAACGTTTTTCTGGGTTTAAAGATGAAATGTTTCAAAGGACTGGGGGTGAAACGTATTAAAAGAGAGGCTGGGAATAGAATGGAAGAGCTGACAGAAGGTGCCACATGGTGGGAACACACACACAGGAGTTCACACATATCCACTCCTGCACAGATGCATGCACACACATGCACACACATTCATACATGCACACGTGCATGCATGCACACACACCCAAGTATTCACACAACCTCTACAGCAAACTGGGTTCAGTTCTGAGAACTTGAATATGAGCCAAATCCCTACTCAAGGGAGTGAGTTCAGCACAGGTCAATGTAACCTAAGAGAAAGGGACAGCTATTGAAGAAAGAACATAAGTGCCATCAACTTCAAAACTGGGGACAAAGGTGCCTGCCTGGCTCATTCAGTAGAGCCTGCAACTCTTGATTTCGGGGTCTTGAGTTTGAGGACCATGTTGGGTCTAGAGTTTACTTAAAACAAACAAACAAACAAACAAACAATGGCTGCAAAACTCCACACCAGGAATACAGGATATTCCAGAGCATCACAGGGCTGTCCACAGGGATAAGAGAAGAAAAGTAATTAATATGTGAGAACCCAGTGGACCAGGGATCATCAGCGAAATGCCTGGCCAGAGCCGGAAGCCTGATGGTCACCTACCACAGCTCGATTTCCACCCACATGGTCTTACTGCTTCCTGTGCTGTCTGCCCAACTGTTCGCACCTCCGCAGGCCATCCCCCCCAGCCTTCAGCAGCTAGAACTGCCTTCCTCCGAGACCTCTCTCACCGGGCGACTGTCGGGAGCAGTCCAGCCAGGCCATCAGGTTTTCTAATCCCGCAAGGGAAGGAAGGGCCCACCAGGGTCCTCTCAGAGCCCCTGCCTGCAACCCACCGATCAAGGCATTTTCGCCTCCACGAGGGTGTTTTCATACCCATTTCACTCTCGGGGAAACAGGCTTATCCTGGGTCACCCAGCTAAGAAGCAGTAGCATTAGGATTTAAAGTTAATTTTGCTTTTCTCCAAGACTGAAATGCTTTAAATCACACCATCATGGCACAAAGGAGTTCTAGTCCTAATGGTACATGTTGACAATTTTTCATGAAATGTGGCTTTTAGACCTTTAACAAATGGGGCAAGAATTTCTGACAGAAGCTGGTTTTAGAAACCCTGGTTCTTTTTTTTTTTTTAATTTTTTTGTTATGTTAATCACCATACATTACATCATTAGTTTTTGATGTAGTGTTCCATGATTCATTGTTTGTGCATAACACCCAGTGCTCCATGCAGAACGTGCCCTCTTTAATACCCATCACCAGTCTAACTCATCCTCCCACCCCCCTCCCCTCTAGAACCCTCAGTTTGTTTTTCAGAGTCCATCGTCTCTCATGATTCATCTCCCCCTCCGATTTCCCCCCTTCATTCTTCCCCTCCTGCTATCTTCTTTTTTTTTTTTTAACATATATTGCATTATTTGTTTCAGAGGTACAGATCTGTGATTCAACAGCCTTGCACAATTCACAGCGCTCACCATAGCACATACCCTCCCCAATGTCTATCACCCAGCCACCCCATCCCTCCCCACCCGCCACTCCAGCAACCCTCAGTTTGTTTCCTGAGATTAAGAATTCCTCATATCAGTGAGGTCGTATGATACATGTCTTTCTCTGATTGACTTATTTCGCTCAACATAACACCCTACAGTTCCATCCATGTCGTTGCAAATGGCAAGATCTCATTCCTTTTGATGGCTGCATAATATTCCATTGTATATGTATACCACATCTTCTTTATCCATTCATCCGTCAATGGACATCTTGGCTCTTTCCACAGTTTGGCTATTGTGGACATTGCTGCTATAAACATCGGGGTGCACGTACCCCTTCGGATCCCTACATTTGTGTCTTTGGGGTAAATACCCAGTAGTGCAATTGCTGGGTCATAGGGTAGCTCTATTTTCAACTTTTTGAGGAACCTCCATACTGTTTTCCAGAGTGGCTGCACCAGCTTGCATTCCCACCAACAGTGTAGGAGGGTTCCCCTTTCTCTGCATCCCCGCCAACATCTGTCATTTACTGACTTGTTAATTTTAGCCATTCTGACTGGTGTGAGGTGGTATCTCATTGAGGTTTTGATTTGGATTTCCCTGATGCCGAGCGATCCTGAGCACTTTTTCATGTGTCTGTTGGCCATTTGGATGTCTTCTTTAGAAAAATGTCTGTTCATGTCTTCTGCCCATTTCTTGATTGGATTCTTTGTTCTTTGGGTGTTGAGTTTGATAAGTTCTTTATAGATTTTGGATACTAGCCCTTTATCTGATATGTCATTTGCAAATATTTTCTCCCATTCTGTCGGTTGTCTTTCGGTTTTGTTGACTGTTTCTTTTGCTGCGCAAAAGCTTTTTATCTTGATGAAGTCCCAATAGTTCATTTTTGCCCTTGCTTCCCTTGCCTTTGGCCATGTTTCTAGGAAGAAGTTGCTGCGGCTGAGGTTGAAGAGGTTGCTGCCTGTGTTCTCCTTTAGGATTTTGATGGACGCCTGTCTCACATTGAGGTCTTTCTACCATTTTGAGTCTATTTTTGTGTGTGGTGTAAGAAAATGGTCCAGTTTCATTCTTCTGCATGTGGCTGTCCAATTTTCCCAACACCATTTGTTGAAGAGACTGTCTTTTTTCCATTGGACATTCTTTCCTGCTTTGTCAAAGATTAGTTGACCATAGAGTTGAGGGTCCATTTCTGGGCTCTGTATTCTGTTCCATTGATCTATGTGTCTGTTTTTGTGCCAGTACCATACTGTCTTGATGATGACAGCTTTGTAGTAGAGCTGGAAGCCCGGAATTGTGATGCCGCCAGCTTTGCTTTTCTTTTTTAACATACCTCTGGCTATTCGGGGTCTTTTCTGGTTCCATACAAATTTTAGGATTATTTGTTCCATTTCTTTGAAAAAAGTTGATGGTATTTTGATGGGGATTGCATTGAATGTATAGATTGCTCTAGGTAGCATTGACATCTTCACAATATTAATTCTTCCAACCCATGAGCATGGAACATTTTTCCATTTCTTTGTGTCTTCCTCAATTTCTTTCATGAGTATGTTATAGTTTTCTGATTACAGATCCTTTGCCTCTTTGGTTAGATTTATTCCTAGGTATCTTATGGTTTTGGGTGCAGTTGTAAATGGGATCAACTCCTTAATTTCTCTTTCTTCTGTCTTGTTGTTGGTGTATAGGAATGCCACTGATTTCTGTGCATTGATTTTACATCCTGCCACTTTACTGAACTCCTGTATGAGTTCTAGCAGTTTTGGGGTGGAGTCTTTTGGGTTTTCCACATAAAGTATCATATCGTCTGTGGAGTGAGAATTTGACTTCTTCTTTGCTGATTTGGATGCCTTTTATTTCTTTTTGTTGTCTGATTGCTGTGGCTAGGACTTCTAATACTATGTTGAATAGCAGTGGTGATAGTGGACATCCCTGCCATGTTCCTGACCTTAGGGGAAAAGCTCTCAGTTTTTCCCCATCGAGAATGATATTTGCTGTAGGTTTTTCATGGATGGCTTTTATGATATTGAGGTATGTACCCTCTATCCCTATACTCTGAAGAGTTTTGATCAAGAAAGGATGCTGTACTTTGTCAAATGCTTTTTCTGCATCTATTGAGAGGATCATATGATTCTTGTTCTTTCTTTTATTAATGTATTGTATCACATTGATTGATTTGTGGATGTTGAACCAAGCTGGCAGCCCAGGGATAAATCCCACTTGGTCGTGGTGAATAATCCTTTTCATGTACTGTTGGATCCTATTGGCTAATATTTTGGGGAGAATTTTTGCATCCATGTTCATCAAGGATATTGGTCTGTAATTCTCCTTTTTGATGGGGTCTTTGTCTGGTTTT